CATCTGAGCTTGATGATGTGGCAGAGATGCCTTCCATGGGCTGACAGAAATTAATCACAATGTCTAAAACTGAAGGGGCTTTTAACAAAAGAGACTTGTTACATGCGGGGAGATGAGATACTTTTATTCCCTTCAGGTGTAGTTCATGAGCTTGAGTCCTGCACCCTGCTCTTTGTATAGCAGTGGGTAGCTTGAATCCACCTCACCATCATGTCAGCCCTCTTCCTCATCCCTTGGCTGCACAGGAGGCATTGAACATGACCCAGAGTGGCTTATGTTGCAGAGTTAAAATTTGCAGTGAGCAAAGCTGTGGTGGTTAAATGGTATTTCTTTCTCCATCTCTCCCAGTGCTGCCTCTTGGTGCTGTAGGTGCTCTTCCTCACTCTGGGGTGTGCTTCTGTCTTTGAAGGTTGCGTCTTGTATCTTCTATATCCAACCTGACTCCTTCTGCCTGACCAGGTTACCTGTTTCTCACAAAGCACTTGGGAGACAGAGAGGGTTTATAAGGATTGCAAGTTTTTTCCTCAGTTAAATTAGGCTTCCTGGGACACGACTCATGAGAAGCCATCAGCAGAATGCATGCAGCAGCATGTCCCTGCTGCTCTGGCTTCTCAGAAGTGGGAATGGCTTTGCTGTGGCATTTACTTAGTAGGACTTGATGTGCTCTGACATATGCAGTGGTGACAAACTGGTAGTCCCTTTTTCCATGCCTGGGGACACGGTGTGTTGGCAAGATGGAAGGGTGCTCAGAAAACAAGTTTCACAGTTTTGCAGAGTTGGATCTCCTTGTAACAAATTGGTTGTAAGCGGAAATTTATAATGCTGTATCCCAAAGGTACCCTTTAAAGCACCAGCTGTTTTAACACTGGGAAATGACATGCATCTCAAGAGGTTTGAAGTGGTTTTTTAGCAATCACTTCATTAAAGATTTTAGGAGATGGAAGTCCTTGTAATAGCAGTCATTCAAAGTTTGAATCAAACCCATGTTACTGTCACTTGGACAGAAGTGGTTTTGCAGATGCTGTTCCAGCTGCAAGTAGTATATTTACAGCTCAAATTTAGGGAAGCCAAACATTGCAGTAATGGCAGTGGGAATTCCAAGCAGGTAACTTGTAGGAAAAATCTGGTAGAGGTCTTGTTAAACTTTCTACTACTTGTATTTTTTCATGGGGGTGATAGATGGGAGCTAGTTTTGTGGAGGAATGGGAAATGAGAGTAGCCAAAACCAGCAAAACTTAAATGGAGGGAGGTGGGAAGCCAAAACAGGGCTTTTGGGGCTATGCCACTTATATATGATAGTTGACTTGAAAGCCATAAAGGAAGTACAATGCAAAGGTCGAATGACTCTTCAAAAAACAAGGTCACATAGCATTTATATTTTCTGCTGGAAAGCAGCCTCTTCTCTGTGCTCGTGTAAATCATCTACCATTAACAGGGGAAATAAGTCTATGAATACACATAAAAGCACAACCACTTTTCAGAAGAACTGGTATGAGCTCCTGGTCACGTGTGCAGTGCGTGATACTCAGTCACTGACAGGCTCACTGACACTCCCTTCTGGCATACTAGTCCTGGTCCTCACCATGAATGCTGCCATCTGAGGGGAAGATTCTCCACAAAAACAATAGACAGACAGATAGGCATTTGGTATGATTTTCACCAAGAAATCAAGCAGAAGGGTGTAAAATTTTCCTTTATTAAAATTACTGAGGGAATTATCAGTGTGGTGAAAAGGGTGAGGGTTTCTATAGGTTAAGACACAGGATCAGAGCCTCAACCAAACTCAGCCACTGTAAGAAAGGAGATTTTTTTCTAGCCATGACACATAATTTAATTTACAGTTCTGTGCAGAAAGGGTGATCAGTGGTAAATTCCCAAATCCAGCACCCCGAGACACAAAACAGCAGGCCTACTTATACAGTTACAATCTTAAGCTATTAGCATATCTTACTGAAGTCACTACTTGGCTAAGTTGTTATTGGCTCATCCTTTCTCTGCTTTGAATTAAAGCCATTGTGTCCCAAGAAATCATAGTGCATGCTCAGTGAGTGGTGGTCTTTTTGTGGGCAGGGGGGCCTGAGCTGGGGTGTGTTTTTACTATTATAAGGAGCAAAAGTTCATCACTAGGGCAAGTTCTCACCACAGAACAGGTCAAAACAGGTTTTCTTCTAGCTCATCATTACACGTCCCAGACAAGAAGGATTTTATCTTTGTTTTCCCCCTTCATGAACTTAGGCCATCAATTTCCTGTCTTCCACATTCCCATGGTTATTGCTTCCACTGCTTAACCACTTTATCTTGTTATTTGGAACTTCGCTCCTGTTATTCATCAAGGTGGGAACCAGGACGGAGGCACTTGTGTGGAACCCCTCTGGAGGCTGAGGGTCTGGTTGCATTGGTCCCTGAAGCTTAGTCCATATTTAGATGATGTACAATTATGTCCATTCCTATTCAAGGCATGACAGTGATTGATTTATGGCCCTGTTAAAAAGCCAAAATAATTTGAACAAACACAAGCTGTAGTGAGCTAGAGTGGAAATGAACTGGAGCCACAGACCAACTGGAGAGGAAAACAAACTGGAGCTGCAAATAAGCTGGAGCCAAAATGAAGCTGAGGAAGATTAAACCCAACTGGAGCCTAAAATGTGCTGGAAGCAAGAACAAACCAGACCCATCCACGAGCTGGACCTGAGACAGACTGGGGACAGAAACAAATAACTTGAAGCTGCAAGTGAGCTGGAGCCACAAACAAGCTGGAGCCACCAAGTCCCCGCAGCATCTCCGGGCAGGCTGAGCCAGGAGCGGGGCCTGCAGAGGGCAGGCAGCAGCAGCATCGCCCTCGGTGCAGGCAGCCCGGCTTCTTTCTGGGGCATCCACACCCCACGCGGGGCTCTCGGGCACGAGTGGCTCCCGCTGTGGTGGATTCCAGCTCTCCCCAGTTCCATCAGAGCCAGCGCCGGGGCTAGGGGTTTGTCCTGCCGGCAGCGGCTCCGGAAAAGAGCTGCAGAGAAGAAAGCAGGTGGGAACAGGGGGGGCTGTAGCAGGAGGGGTCACCGCCCCCTCGGGAAACCTCCATCCCCGCCGAGTCCCCATCCCCGCCAGGGGGCCATGGCTGGGAGCCAAGGCCGGGAGCCACCGGCGTGGTCGAGCTGGGACTGATCCCGCGGTGGAAAGCGGAGCATTGCCGGGGACTCCTAGCCCCAGCGGCTGAGCTACAGCTGTTCCCCAGGCCAAGAACCCCAGGCCGGTGCCCAAACCGCCGGGAAAGCCCCAGGCGGGTCCCACCGCCCCCGGCGCGGCGGGGAGGGAGCGAAGCGCCGGCCCCGCACGGTGCCGCCGCCCGGCGGGCGCGGAGCGGCACTGCAGCCCCCGGTACCGGCACCGGTGTGGCCATCGCGGTGTCCCTGCACAAGGCGGAGGCTCGGGGGAGGACACGGCCGGGTCAAGGGCGGCCACAAGCCGTGCAGAAGGCAGGGGCTGCCGTGGCACCCGCCAGCAAGGAGGACCCCGAGCAAGGTAGCGTCCCCGCTCTGGGAAGGCGCAGGGGAGAGCATTCCAAGAGGGTCCTGTGGTAGCACAACAACATAGCAGGGGGCTGTGGCTCCCAGCGTGCCAGGTCTGGAGATCAGCTGGAGCCAGCGTGCCAGGTCTGGAGATCAGCTGGAGGAGCTGCTCTGAGCCATGTGCAGCAAGGTTGCATGAGCCTGAGGCTGGCCATCTCCTCCTGGGTGGTGGCACCAGGGGTACAAATTCTGGCAGGCTACACCATGGCTGGGATGGACACCACAGATGGGATATGGACAACACAGCCTGGATATGGACACTGTAGTTGGAATATGGACACCACAGCTGGGATATGGTGTCCCTATACACGCCCTGTGCACAGTAGTAAGACCCCCACTCCTCCCCACCTCCAGCCCTCAACCTGTGAATGACCAGCCACAGCCATAAAGAATTTGTCAAAAAACAGCTTTGCCACTGAAGCCACTTGAGGCAGAAAACAAGTATTCCATGGCTGGAAAGGTCTCATGGAAGAGCCTCTCCCTCCATGTCCCCACAAGACAAGCACCCTTCCATGCTCATCCTGGCCGTGCCCCCCCCGAGACATGACCCCCCATGCCATTCCAAGCCATATCCACCCCCATGTACCCCCAGCCATGTCCACCCCATGCCCAGAGACAAGCGTCACCACTCCCATTTGGACCCTGGCCTTTCCCCCCAAAACTGTCCTGTGCCCCCACTTTGAGCCACACCTCCCTGTGCTGTAGGAGTACCAGGGTGGTCACATCAAGAGCCTCCCCATCAACTCATGTCTTATTTAAAGTAATTCTGCTCTAAGCCAGTTATGGTTTAAGTTGGGCGACAGGAGGGGCTTCACCCCAACCCTGGACCCAGGGGTTGGGCACTGTGAGCTGGGCAGCATGGAAGTGTTTGCTGGGCTGGGGACTGTCTTTTGTGTTTTGTTTATTGCTGTGATTGTTTTTTTACACACTCTGTTAATACAACTCCTTCGAGAGGGGGAACAACCCCGGCTCCTGATCTGGGACTGCGGAGGGTGGGCACTCCCCGATCTGGCGCTGCGTCGGGGGGCCAGGCTGGGCGATCGGAGCTTCCCTGGGGGCTGGGGGCTCCCCCAGGGGCAGGGCGGCTGTGGCAGGGGCAAGCGTGCGCCCCCGACCGCTGTCTCTACTTGGTGGGCCGGCAGGAGGGGGCCCCGCGGGTGTGCCCCGCTAGCCTGGGCCCCAGGCAGGCGGCACGCCGGGGACTCAGAGCTCTGCCCCGCTCCCGGTGCCGCCTAGGCCACTGGAACACCACGGGGAGAAGGACATCGGACAGGGGCTGTGGGTCACGGCTGTGCCCGGGGCAAGAGCAGGGATGGGTCGGGAGGGGACACCAGGGACTCTCACAGCCGGGACAGCGCTGCTCGGCAATACCGCCACCGGCCATACTGTGCGTCCTCCCTACCCCACCCACCGGCCGCTACCCACCAATCAGCTCTCGCTGCCCCCGGAGTTTTGGCCAATCGTAACCCGCCGTTTGCGCGTCCTCCGCTCTTCCCTCCGGCCACCGCCTGCCGCCCCTTCCGGAAGCACCACCGCTCCTTTCCCGAGCCACCACCGCTCCTTTCCCGAGCCAACATCGCCCCTTCCGCCGGAGCAGGAGTTGGGCTGGGCTGGGCTGGGCTGGGCTGGGCCGCGGGGCACGGTCTCGGCCATGGTCTGGGCGTTCGTGCTGCTGTCGCCGGGCGGGCAGGCCGGGCAGGCTCCCTGCCGCGTGCTGTACGCGCGCGCCTTCGGGACCTCTCCTGGGACCCCTCTCGGGGGTCCCCGGCAGCGCCTTCGCCGCAAGGAGCAGCTACTGGTCGTGGCCAGGTAGCCGGGAGAACCCCCCGCCTCGGGGCGGCGACATCACCCTCCATGGGAAACCCCTTCCTGGGGATGCTGGGCTCGGTGGGACCCCTGTGACCCCCTCCATTCCCTGAAGCCCCTGGAGTCGTGACTCTCCATCCCTTTCCCTGGGACCCCCACAACCATGATGCCTCCTTTTTTTTTTGATGTGGGGGCTCCTGGGTTTTGCCGGACCCCCAGGGCTGAGACACCCCTTTACTGTGGGACACTCTCCCTTCCTGAGGGGAACCTGTGCTCAGTGGGATCTCCAGAACTGTGGCAGCCCCCTTATGGGGGGACAGGGCTCAGTGGGAACCCCAGGACCATGATCCCCCCTATTCATCAGATACGCCCTTTTTGGGGATGCTGGGACCCTGTGTCCCCAGTAGAGGGGGTCACTCTATCCCTGGATGAGGCAGGAGTCCATAACACAAGGGTCCCCCCTTTCTCTTCCAGACAAGTGGCTTCCCAGTGCCAGCTGCTTCAGTCATCCCTGGGCCGCCTGTCCTCCCCACAGCTCCCCCAGCTGCCTGATGAGCCGGTGTCACTCCAAGATGCTCCGGGGGGGCTTTTCCAGATGCCCCCTGGAGACCCCTTCCCTGAGCGGGTGACAGTAGTCTGGTTATCAGTGCTGGCCCTCGCCTGTGCTTTGGTTTGTGACCCCCAGGAAAATCTGTCCTTGGCTGAAATCACCCTGCGGCGCCTGGCTCCCCGCCTGCTCATCTCCTTGCGGCTCCTCAGCCCTGGCGCTGACGTCCTGCTCCGTCCGGATGCTGCTGATGCCCTCCTGGATCGTCTCCTGCCCCATGGGCAGATGCTTTTTCTCAATGAACGTTTCCTCCAGGCAGTGGACCGGGAGCTGGGCATCAAAGCATCCCGCTGAGCTACAGATGACATCCCTGCCCACGACCCCTGGATATTTTTCACTGGGGAGAGACAAGGGAAGGATCTGAGATGGTTGCCAAGCCCCAGCAGGATGGATGGGAAAAGTAGCTCAGGAATAAAGAGCAACATGCCGGCAAAGAGGGGGATTTTAATCCATTTATCCCCCAACTTTGTTGTGGGAGAGCTAATAGCCATCCCCATAAATCCATCTGGAGCTGGAACAAGTGCCGTGTTCCTGCACCGTGTTCCTGCGCTGTATTCTTGCACCGCTCCATGCGCACGTGACAGTGGGCGGTGGCTCCACATGGCCGTGAATGGACATTAAAAGAGGGATGCCGGGTTACCCCAGCTGGATGTTACAGGGCAGGTGGGGGGTTCCTGGCAGGGGAGACCTGGCTGTAGGCAGTGCAGAACCCCTCTGCTTTGGGATGGGAGCTCACCTCAGGACAGGAGGAACCCCAGGGAACATGGGGAAGCCGGGGGTGTGCAACCAGGCCTGGCGCATCAGGGTCACTGGGTGGGTGATTTATTTAAAACAGGCAGCGAGGCAAGATGTGGCCATGCGCCTGACACAGCGGGTTGGTTGTCACCGGGTGATGCTGCTTGGGAACAGGGGACCTATGTGACACCCTGGGAGGTGGCTGGAGCCAGCACCAAACTGCACAGCTCTTCCAGCTGCCACCAGGGTGCAGTGGGGATCAGGGCTCTATCCTAGCAGTTTCTGAGTGCTGGGAGAGTCAGAGAACCAGGATGTGTGGCTCTGCCTGGAGGCCCCTGACCTACTATACAAGCACATGGTAGTGGGTTTTTGAAAAAGGGGTAGGATGAAAAGGAAGAGAGAAAATAAGAGATGAATTAAAGGGGCAGAGAAAGAAAGAGAGGAAGAAAGAGAGAAAGAGAAGAAGGAAGAAAAAAAGAAGGAAGGAAGGAAGAGAAAGGAAAGAGAGATCACCAGTCCTGGTTCCATCCATCCAACTGATGGGATGTCCAGGGTTCCGAGGACACAGCCCAGGCTTGGTGGGGGTACATTTTTATAGATAGGTTTCCCTGCCCTGAAGACAGATTTCTTACTTTCTATGCAAATTAGTTCTCATGCAGTCTGTTCTTTCACACCCTTCTGGAAATGGGTTGGGGGGGGTTGGGTATCTTGGATGGTCTTGTCCCCCCCACCAGATTGACCTTTGGTTGACGGTATGTGCCTGCTTCTGTGATGATGCTGTCTTATTTTTTTAGTTGTGTCTCTGTGGACTAGAACAAGGATGTTTGTCCCAGAAAAGTGCTGCCCTACCTCTGCATGGCCCCTTTATCCTGTCATATCTTGTTCTTCCTTGTGGCATGTTAGTTCCAACAGTCCTTGGTTGGCTCCATGGCCATCCTGCTGTCGGTGTTTGAGATTTACACATCGTCCCCTTTTCTTCTGGGCTTCTACACCACCCTATGGCTCAAACATCAATAGGGCCCTTGAAAAGGTGATCCCTTGAAAAGGGAAAAGAAGGGAAAGAGAGGTAGAGGGAGGGGCAAATGCATTCTGTAAATTATCTCTGAGCTTTGGGATAATCTCTCCATAATTCTCCACACCTTAACGTACAATCCAATTACCAAAATGAAAAGCAGAAAGGTTAATACTAAAAGAACAATCACAGTGCCACATTTTGTTAAAAATTCACATTGCTGTTGGCGACCATCCAAATAAAATGTCACACCAGAGGTGTTCCCCATCTTTCTTCACCCGTTCCATCACCCAGTGGACTTTTTCCACATCTTGGTGAACAGTAGTCAGTCTTTTTTCTGTTGTCTTGTGCTTGCTTCAACAGTCATCTCAGGTCCTCATGTTGTAGCACCTTTTTTACCAGTGTGAGGTTCATACCAGTGGGAATGGGTTTTAAAGCTAAGATCGAGGTGTATTTAGATTTCAACAACTGGTAGGAGTTAATCAGAGCTGAATGATTGAAATCCTACCCCTTGATTTGAACAAATTTACAAATGTTAGAATGATTTTTTGTTATTACTACCTGCTTATCTACAATTACGTGATCACAAGGTGTTCCTAAGCAAACACATCTCTTGCCTGCATACACATGCATGTTTTCTGTGTTGCAATCTGAACAAATTTCAAAATGGCATATTTTGCTCAGTAATCAAGAGAAGTGTCTTGAGCCCTTAGTGTATTTCCTGACAGATAAATCCTTGTTGTTCCTGCACAATGCATGCATCGACTTCTGTAGTTTGCCATTTTTCCCCTTCTTTCTAGGCCCATACCCTATGTTCTGTGGGGTATAATACAGTTCCATTATAAATTAATCCTAAAGCATGATGAGATATATTTTTTACACTTTAGCATTAAGCACTGTTAACACAAAGGCAGTGACCGTATAATTTTTGAGGTTATAGGTAAAGTTGACTAAATGCCACCAGGACAGGAAATTTCTTTTAAACTGTTTTCCCAAATTACATTCCTAATCTCAGTGGGCAAGGTACTGTCTTCACTTTCTCATATGATAGCAGCTGTCATATCTTGCATGCACAATTGGGCTTGAATACAACCAAGAGCCAAAGAGACATTGTCTTGGAGTGTTTCAATGGTGTTAGCAATTAACTGTTGATGAGAACCAACTGGAATCTGAATGTATGGGCCATTATTTTGTATGCATTCATAGGATTCCACTTGCTGGATTTCAGTGTCACCTGGTTTATGGCCAGAATTCTCTTGCAAGTCAGCCACTGAATCAGATCTAATGGAGTAATTTTTTGTGTGTGATTTTCTGTTCTGCCCTGAGGTCTAGTAGATTCAGGGGGGGTTGAAGGAGATAAAGAATCATCTTTCCCTGGTTCCCTGTCATTGGGATCACCCTATATGTTTACATCCCTTGTAAGTCTGCTGTACTTTTCCTGGAAATTTGATATCTCAGTCTCCGTATGCAGCTCCATTTTGGTAGCAGTTTGCTGACCCTGACCATCATATGTGGTTTCAGTTTTAATTAAGGGTCATAATGTTACTTCCTCATCATCAGATGACAAATGCTACATCTCACTTTTTGTCAGGGTAATAAATGCATTTACTGTCTTCCAATTCCTTCATTGGACATAAAAAGTCAGAGTTGTGTGATCATATTTTTTCAAATGGCACAGATTCTAAATCCTGCACTGGTGCCCCCTTTCCCACAGTTCCTGCTGACCTGGCCTGGGCCAGGCACCACTTCCCTTCTGCTTCTCCTCGATCTCCTGCAGCAGGAGCAGCACCTGCTCCACCATGCCAGGTCCCAGCCCTGTACAACCTGGATCACATCACCCAGGATGGAGAAGTTCAGTGTACTCAGCACTTTCCTAAAAGAGGCATCAAAGGAGCACCCCGGAGGGCAAGGAGGGAGGCACTCCTCCGCCTGCAGCACCCTTGGCCAGGTCCCAGCCAGTCTGGTCCCCAACCAGGACAAGCAGGGGCAACACAGTGCTCACAGGGCAGGGAGGGAGGGAGGCAGATCCCACCCCAAAACTGCCCCACACCCTGGCTGCTGGCCTTTTGAACCTGCTTCCCATCCTCCATGTTCCTTAGCCGAGCCAGCTTTTGTTAACCATTACCACTTGGGCGGGGCGGGAGGGTGGAGGTGCCAAGGCTCCTGGGGACCAGAGGCCTCAGAATCTTGATAGGTACAGCTGCAGCAGGAATAGGGTGGTAGAGGTGTCTCTGCAGCTGTAGAACCTTGTGGCACCTATTAAAGGGGCTGAAGCTGGGGGAGAAGCACAGACAAGTGGGAGGAGAGGTGATTGTGGGCTCCATTCCTTACCTGTCATGGCTTGGGCTTAGTGCATGGCTGGCACCACAGATGTCAAGGTGGCATCCTGCTGGGGAATAGGCCATGCCCCTGGCTCTTGCACTAGCATTGGCAACACCTCTGCCACATGTGATCCAGGCTGAACTTTGCTCAGTGGGGCACTGCCCTGGGCACAGTGCTGCCACAGGATCCAGCTAGTCCCAAGGTTGTGGAGGCTGCCAGCAGGGAGGACAGCCAACACTGTGAGGATCCACCATCAGCCATGGAGCAGGAAAGTGTCAGGGAGGAGCTGGGTATCCCCCTCTACAAGATGTTCATTGAGGGCTGGGCACAGGTGAAGGATTTCCAAGCCCGTCCAGATGACCTGCTCATCTCCACCTACCCCAAATCAGGTGAGTGGCCCTGGGGAAGGGTGAAGGGAGGATGAGGTGACACCAGCCTTTGCAATGCTGTCCCTGTGCTGCAGGCACGGCGTGGCTGGGCGAGATTATGGACATGATCTACCAAGATGGTGATGTGAAGAAATGCCGATGGGATGCCATCTACAACCATGTGCCCTTCCTGGAAATGAAGGACTCTGGGATACCGAGTGGTGAGCTTCTCCAGCCTGGCTCCCTGGGTGGGGAGGGAGCAGAACTGGGGTCAGGCTGAGTGTGCTGGGGCTCACACCTCTAAGCCCCCTGTGCCACAGGTGTTGAGCAGCTGGAGAACACCCCATCCCAATGGCTTGTAATGACCCATCTCCCAGTCCACCTCCTCCCACAGTCCTTCTGGGAGAAGAACTGCAAGGTAATGCTGCAGGTGCCCCTGCCTCTCTCCTCATCTGGGTTGGCAGGGAGGAGGCACTACTCTATCTTCCAACCACATCCTTGTCTGTCTCCAGATTATCTACATGGCCTGCAACCTCAAGGATGTTGTCATCTCCTACTACCAGATGACCAAGTTACACCCTGACCCTGGCACACTGGCTGAGTTCCTGGAGACCTTCCTGGCTGGCAAAGGTGAGGGCTGAGCCACAGGATGCCCACCCTGAAATGCTGGTGGGAAGGTCATCCCCTGCTGCCCTGCTTTTTAGCTAATCCCTTGACCATATTCCACAGCGGCTTACGGGTCCTGGTATGACCATGTGCGGGGCTGGTGAGAGAAAAGGAAGGAGAAGAAGATCCTGTAGCTCTTCTCTGAGGACGTGAAAAAGTGAGGGTGGGATGAGGGGCAAGGTGCCCTGGTTGCCCCCCCCCCCCCCAGCGTTTTTGGCAGCCTCCTCATGTCAACTGCCCTGCAGGACCCACATCAGGAAGTGAAGAAGATCCTGCATTTCCTGGGCAAGGAGGTGGCAGAGGGAACAGTGGAGAGGATCCTTCACAACACTGCCTTCCAGGCGATGAAGAAGAACCCTGCTGCCAACTATGAGACCATGCCCACTGCCCTGATGGACCACAACCTCTCCCCCTTCCTCCGTAAAGGTGGGATTTGGCCAGTGGTGGAGGGCTTGGGAGGAATGTCCCTGCGTTGTATTTCAGCCTCCATCCGTGGCTGCAAATATTTTGTGTGTCTTGAGATTTGCCCCACTTGCTTTCTTGCCCCCAGGGATCTGTGGAGACTGGAAGAACTACTTCACTGTGGCCCAGAATGAGCACTTGACCGGCACTACCATGGCAGGCTCCGACCTCCACTTCCAGATGGAGATGTGAGGGGCTCATCCCCCTTTCCGGGAGGACTCTGCTTATCCTTGCTCCCCTGGTGTGGATGGTGGGTCCCAGTGGAGCATCCTTGCACTGATTTACTTTCCCCCTTGCAATAAATCGTGATAAATGGAGAGTGAGTCATTGCCTGCAGAAATGACTCCCCCCCTCTTGCAGGGGGGGAGGCTGAACCCCCCCCAAATTCCAGGCAGTGTCTGGGAGAACCTCCATGATCAGCAGGAGAGAAGGTGAGCACACACAGTGGATTTTTGGCTGGTGATGGTCAGGCATCACTGGGAATATGCATCCTCCCAAAACCCACCACTGGCCCCTGTCAGCTTGGGTGCCCCAGACCCAGCCTACCAAGGTGCCTGGAGGGAGCAAAGATCGGTGAAGAGTTGAAAAACCCCAAAGCACCAGTAAACCTGCTGCTGCCATGGCTTTTGTGTGCACAGGAGCTTTCATGGCTCCAGGTTGTGGCAAGTTTCTTGACATAGTGGGTGGTGGTGAGGCTCTCCCCAGGCTCCCTGACCCAGCTGGAGCTTGGCAGCCCATAGTCTATGGAACAAAGGTGAAGGGAAACACCTCCCTGCTGGTGTATGGCCGGGCTCAGCAACATCACCATCCTTGCTGGATAGGGAACCCACCCTGTAACCTCCAACCTGGTTGCACTGAGCCCTTGCTCTGGGATGGCCAGAGCAAACCACTCTCTGTCCCCCTGGGGCAAGGGTGTGCTTTGGAGCCCCAAGTGCCCCACTTACACTCCATTTCTGGCCTGTTCCAGAGTTTCTAAGATTGCAGCTTTTTGGCAATACAGCCTCACAGGGTTGTTTTATCCCCAAAGAGAAGCAACTAGGATCCGACTCCTATAGAGCAGCAGTGCTGTGAGGAGACCTGACCCATAGGAATGAATCCTTTCCAGACATTTATTTCAATGCCAATGGAGATCTCTGTGCTTCCCCACCTCCTGGCTTTGCCTGTGGTGTTTGCACACGCAACCAATTTTGCTGATATATGGACAGACAGACGGGCAGGGAGGCATGTCCCTGCCTGCAAAACACCTGAACGCCTGGCATGGCATGTCCCACCTCACCTGGAACTTGGCCCTGGGTCCAAATCAGGGACTTCTCTCAAGGTTGCAAACAAGTGAGCTGCTGCCCCTGCCCAGCTGCTACCTTTCCTGTCCTCACCACTCCCTCCTGGCTCGAAGGTCGCCTGTGGGAAGCAGGTAAGGAGGAGCATTTCACCACCACAGGCACCTTTAAACACCTTTCCCAGGAGCACTTGTGCTTTGCAATCCTGCAAACTTTGGACCCGTATTTGCAGGGGTATGACCAAAGCCTTATCTCCACATTCCACTAGCAAGCCCCACGTCTGTGTGAGGAATCGGGGTCGTCCACTCAGGTGACTCCTGGATCAGGACAGGGTGACGTTAAATTCCCGGGGCTGGGATTTCCTCCATTTGTTTGCCTCTGCGAGTGGAGGGGGCAGCTGTGATTTCCACTCCCGCCACCTGTGTGCGTACCGGGGGGTTGCTGAGCACGGCACAGCTTATCGCAGGCATCTGGGGACAGTCTCTACCCCCGCTCGCCCCTTCCCTGCCCTCCTCCTGCCCCAGCGCTGTCCCCCCGCCTGCGTGAGCCTCCATCTTCCACTAAGGGAAGGGAAAATAGGAAATCCCGCCCCGTAAGCGGCGGGCGAAGCTTTGCCTCCTCCCTGCCAGAGGACCCGGAGAAGAGGTAATGGGGGGACTCTGGCCACGGTCAGGGGTATCGGCCCATTTCAGGGTGCCCTGGCCTCACAAGCAGAGGGCCTGCGTGGGGGGTTGCGGGGGCTCAGAGAGGCTCAGTGTCCCTGCAAACCCTTGGAAGACGGAAGCAAGCGACCAAGCCTTTCTCCAAAAGTCACAGTGTGGGTGTTTCGCAGCTGCCATATCCAGCGTTTCTATCCTGTCTGGTGGGTGAAAAGGTTTCCTGGGGAGAGAGTTCTGGGAGCCTTGCTCCTCATTCCTGTCTCCTTCAAACCCTCACTCATCCCCCTGCAAGAAGGTCTTCCCCAAGCTGCCGTACAGCTGAGAGATGGGGAGGAAAAGGCAGAGGGAAAGCAGCCTGAAACCCCAGCCAGGAAAGCCCCTGTGAGCTTTTACACCCAGGTAAAAGTACCAGCTTGGTACAGATAGCTGCCCCACTTCCTGTGCTGACCTGAGCCCCCCAGAGCCAGCCATGCCCCTCCACACTCCCTGCACTGCCACCTGGCCCCAAAAATCCCCTCAGAAGACAGATGCCACCTCCCATGACACCAACAAGCAGGGGACAGTTTCCTTCCTGTGGGCAGGATGGCTGGGTTCAGCAGGCATTTTGGGGACTCCAGGGAAAGAGGTGGCCCCATGATGCTCCTTGCTGCCGGCCAGCCCTGCCATGTGTCCATGTCCCCAGAAGGATGGCCAATCCAGACTCCTATCTGCGTCAGCCCTGGAGCACAGTGCATGGCATTCCCATGGTCAACGCCTTCGCCCTCAACTGGGAGCGGATCGACAGCTTCCAGAGTCGCCCTGAGGACATTGTGGTGGTCACCTTCCCCAAGTCTGGTGAGTGTCCCCAGGCAACAGAGAGGGGCCACACTTGGGAAGGGAGGAACCAACCTGGAGGAGCTGGGACTGGAGGGGATGCTAGAAGGCAACGCTGGTAGATGGTGGCCCTCGGGTGCCTAAGATGGGGCTCTGGTGGGAGTGGCATCAGCTGGACATGCAGCCTCTCCTCGCCAGGCACCACGTGGGTCAGCGAGATTGTGGACATGGTCCTGAAAGGTGGTGACCCCAAAAAATGCAAGGAGGATAACATCATCAACCGGGTGCCCATGATGGAGTTTGCTGCCCCTGGGAAGATGCCAGCAGGTAACAGGGTGGCAGTGGGTGGTGGATGGGGGACACACTTGGTTTTGTATGGGAGGGTACCCCACTGGCAGTGGGATTGCTCGTGGGGGAAATCCTTGCAGGCACGGACCAGCTGGAGGTTATGGCATCCCCTCGCATCATCAAGACCCACATCCCAGCTGACATCTTGCCCAAAACCTTCTGGGAAAACCGCTGCAAGGTAACAGGCTGGAGTTACCACAGCTGGAGGAATCCAGCAGAGATAAGGGGGGTACCTGCCCTGCTGGGACCTTGCAAGTCCCCAAATGCCACCAAGCTTTCTGCAGATGATCTATGTGGGGCGCAATGCCAAGGATGTGGCCGTTTCCTTCTACCACTTTGACCTTATGAACAAGTTCCACCCTCACCCCGGGACATGGGCCCAGTACCTGGAGGAGTTCATGGCCGGCAGAGGTGGGGCAGGGCACCTCTGGGTGAATGTGGGGACCCTGTGGGGTGCTGTCAACCAATGACATCCCCTGGCTGCTCTCCCCATGTAGTGGCATATGGCTCCTGGTACAACCACGTCAAGGGCTACTGGGAGCGGAGGAAGGATCACCCCATTCTCTACCTCTTCTACGAGGACATGAAGGAGGTGATGGACTGGGGTGGATGGTGGTGTGGCATCCGGGGGGGTGGCAGGAGGGGTGAACATCAGCCTGTGTCCCACAGGACCTCCGCCGGGAGATAGTCAAGGTGGCCCAGTTCCTGGGGCATGAGCTGTCAGAGGCGGCACTGGACACCATCACCCAACACACTTCCTTCGAGGCCATGCGGGACAATCCCACCACCAACTACAGCAAGCTGCCCTCCGAGATCATGGACCACAGCGTGTCCCCCTTCATGCGCAAAGGTGAGCAGCTCTGGGGGGCTGCAGGTGCCCTGTCCCCCTGGCCCTTGCTGAACCCCATCTCACCCGGCCTCAGGCACCACCGGAGACTGGAAGAACCACTTCACCGTGGCCCAGAACGAGCGCTTTGACCAGGACTATGCGCAGAAGATGTCGGGCACCGACCTGCGCTTCCGCACTCAGATCTGAGGAGACACCGCCAGACACCCCCCAAATCCGACCCATGCTGGTGGCACTGCTCCCACACCGGGGGCTGCTTCCCCTCCTCTGAGACTGCTGGAGAGAAATAAAATGTGCTTCCTGACCCCTGCATGGGGTGCTCACTACCCTGTGCCTGTGCGGACCCAACCCTGCCATCCCTCTGGGGCTGCTGTCCTCTTCTTGGGCTGGGGACAAGCAGGTGTCACCCCTCAGCTGCCATGGTGGGGGGATTGCTACCAGCAGCTCGTGGGATTGCAGAGGGTTGTGGCAAAACTGCATGTGGGGAACCTGTTGGCTGGATATAGGCAGTGAGGGGTGGTGTCCCTGTCCTAACTGTGGGGAGACACAGTCTGGGACCTGGGGGTGGGAGGCAAGATCAGCGAGGCTAGAGATGTCCACTGTGGCCCTGCCTGCCGGTCAGTGACTGGTGGCTTCTCCCTGTGTTTGCTCCTCCCTCCCGGCAGCTGCAGGGCCGGAAAACATTGCTGCCCTTGCCGCCCTGCCTTTTCCTTCTCCTCCCTGCAAAAACTGCTGCGGGGCCCCGTGTCTCCCTGTCCTCTGCCGTCACCCTCGTGGTGTCACTGTCCCAGCGTCACTCTCCCGGCACAGAGCGGCACTGTATTAGGTGAGAGGGGTGTCCTGGGGTGCCCTGTGGGTGCTCTGCCCATGCATGCTCAGCCACACAGAGCTGCATGCTGTGGGGTCCGGGTTGGTGGATTTGGGGTACTTTTGGGTGTAATCAGCCACCTTAAAACCTTCCCCTGCAGTGAGGTGTGCTGCAATAACCTCTGGGACCCAGCTTCCTGCTCCCCTGTGGTGCTGAGGCAATGGGAGAGGTGCTTGGTCTGGGTGATGCTGGTACCCCATGGGTACCCCCCTCCTTACTGGGGCACTGGGTGTGCTCCTTTTCCTGCAAAGGGGACCCTTGATCCCCAGATGGGCCCCCTGTTCCCAGTGGTTGGTGCAGCGATGGCTGCAGTGACCTCTGGTCTGTGTGCCAGTGCTATCACTGCCACTCCCTGGGCAGGCACTGTGCCAGTTGCCTGGGCTGTTCTGGCTGGTGACTGCCCAATGAGGGGGGGCCTCCCTCACCAGTCAGCCTCCTCCATGTGTCCCCCTCCCCAGCAGGATGGCCGATCCAGACCCCCACCTGCGTCAGCCCTGGCCCACAGTGCACGGCATTCCCATGGTCAAAGCCTTCACCCACAACTGGGAACGTGTCGACACTTTTCAGAGTCACCCTGAGGACATTGTGGTGGTCACCTTCCCCAAATCTGGTGAGTATCCCTGAGTGTACCAGATGTACTGGTACCATGTGGGCAAGTCTGTTGTACATCTGAGGTGGGGGAAATGCAGCACATTTGGGGGCAGTCGGGACAGAGCTGTGCGGGATCCCCTTTGCCCTCTCAGTGTCTGGTTAAAGTCTGAGGGGTTGTCAGTGATCAGACACCCAATGCCACCATGGCTGCCCCCTGATGAGTTCCTTTCCCCAGGCACCACCTGGGTCAGCGAGATTGTGGACATGATCCTGCAAGGTGGAGACCCCGAGAAATGCAAGCGGGACATTATCAGCAAGAGGGTGCCCATGCTGGAGTTCTCTGTCCCTGGGAAGTTGCCAGCAGGTAGTGAGGGGTGGGGGCTTGACCACGGACACCCTAACAGGGGCTGAGTCCTGGGAGTCTCTGCCAAGAGCCCACTGAGGAAGTGCTTTGGGATCCCCCAGGGACAGACCTGCTGGCCACCATGCCCTCACCTCGCGTGGTGAAGACCCACCTGCCGGCAGATGTATTGCCAAAATCCTTCTGGGAAAACCGCTGCAAGGTAACTCCCAACCCCGGTCTCTGCCCTGAGGGGCATTTAAGTCCCCCTGTTCCCATGAGACAGGACCCCCCACTGCTCCCTTGAGCACACTAAGTGGGCACGGGAGTTCTGGGAGCTGGAGCATCCTCCCTGTTAGGGGGCCCTGGGACTGCTCTCACACCCTGTCACCCATCTGCAGATGATCTATGTGGGGCGCAATGCCAAGGATGTGGCCATTTCCTACTACCACTTTGACCTTATGAACAAGTTACAGCCACACCCCGGGACATGGGCCCAGTACCTGGAGGAGTTCATGGCCGGCAGAGGTGGGGCAGGGCACCTCTGGGTGAATGTGGAGACTTTGTGGGGTGCTGTCAACCAATGACATCCCCTGGCTGCTCTCCCCATGCAGTGGCATATGGCTCCTGGTACAACCACGTCAAGGGCTACTGGGAGCGGAGGAAGGATCACCCCATTCTCTACCTCTTCTACGAGGACATGAAGGAGGTGATGGACTGGGGTGGATGGTGGTGTGGCATCCGGGGGGGTGGCAGGAGGGGTGAACATCAGCCTGTGTCCCACAGGACCTCCGCCGGGAGATAGTCAAGGTGGCCCAGTTCCTGGGGCATGAGCTGTCAGAGGCGGCACTGGACGCCATCACCCAACACACTTCCTTCGAGGCCATGCGGGACAATCCCACCACCAACTACAGCAAGGTGCCCTCTGACCTCATGGACCACAGCGTGTCCCCCTTCATGCGCAAAGGTGAGCAGCTCTGGGGGGCTGCAGGTGCCCTGTCCCCCTGGCCCTTGCTGAACCCCATCTCACCCGGCCTCAGGCACCACCGGAGACTGGAAGAACCACTTCACCGTGGCCCAGAACGAGCGCTTTGACCAGGACTATGCGCAGAAGATGTCGGGCACCGACCTGCGCTTCCGCACTCAGATCTGAGGAGACACCGCCAGACACCCCCCAAATCCGACCCATGCTGGTGGCACTGCTCCCACACCGGGGGCTGCTTCCCCTCCTCTGAGACTGCTGGAGAGAAATAAAATGTGCTTCCTGACCCCTGCGTGGGGTGCTCACTACCCTGTGCCTGTGTGGACCCAACCCTGCCATCCCTCTGGGGCTGCTGTCCTCTTCTTGGGCTGGGGACAAGAAGGTGTCACCCCTCAGCTGCCATGGTGGGGGGATTGCTACCAGCAGCTCGTGGGATTGCAGAGGGTTGTGGCAAAACTGCATGTGGGGAACCTGTTGGCTGGATATGGGCAGTGAGGGGTGGCGTCCCTGTCCTAACTGTGGGGAGACACAGTCTGGGACATAGGGATAGAAAGAAGTCCACTGTGGCCCTGCCTGCCGGTCAGCAACTGGTGGCTTCTCCCTGCGCTTGCTCCTCCCTCCCAGCTGGCAAACATTGTTGCCCTGGCCACCCTGCCTCTCCCAGTAAAAACCACTGCCGTCACCCTCGTGGTGTCACTGTCCCAGCGTCACTCTCCCGGCACAGAGCGGCACTGTATTAGGTGAGAGGGGTGTCCTGGGGTGCCCTGTGGGTGCTCTGCCCGTGCTCAGCCACACAGAGCTGCATGCTGTGGGGTCCAGGTTGGTGGGTTTGGGGTACTTTTGGGTGTAATCAGCCACCTTAAACCTTCCCCTGCAGTGAGGTGTGCTGCAATAACCTCTGGGACCCAGTTTCCTGCTCCCCCGTGGTGCTGAGGCAATGGGAGAGGTGCTTGGTCTGGGTGATGCTGGCACACCATGGGTACCCCCTGCCTTGCTGGGGCACTGAGTGTACTCCTGTCCTCCCGAATGGGCTCCCTGTCCCCAGCAGTGGGTGCAGTGATGGTTGCAGTGACCTCTGGTCTGTGTGGAGGTTCTATCACTGACGCTCTCTGGGCAGACTCTGTGCCGTGTGCCCAGGCTGCCCTGGCCATGGTAGACTGCCTGTTCTTTGCCCAGCTCTTTCGTGCCTCAGCAGCAAACTAACCCACTACTATAAATCATTGGCAAGCTGACTTGTCACAGGGAAAGGCTTACCATGGGAGCATGAACACCAAAATGCATGAAAAGATGGAAGGGAGAGAGCATCTCCTCCTCTCTGGGCTGATGAGCTGTTAGATGAGTCCCATCACGTCTATACCCTCAGGATTTGCAAACTTGCCCATCAGTACAGAACAGAGCTTTCCCTGGGGATTCAGATATATGCTGGCAAGACAGTGTACCATATCTGCAGGTAGCTTTGGCAAGTCTACTGCTGCCCTTCACTGTAGAGCTGACAACGACAGCTGTAGTACCTACTCTCCACCAACAATGCACAATTCCCAGCATGGACATAAAGCTTGGCATAAACCTTCTCTGATTTCTTTAGTGTTTTGTCTTGCAGAGTGGAAATGGCTCCAGTGTTAGCCACCTTGGTGCCTGTATGTTTACATGCCTAGGTGCCCCTGCAGCTTTGCAGCAGCAGTGAATAGAGTTCATAAAATCTTAAGCTGAATCAAAAAATCCAAGTGGAATACTGTAAGACTAGCCCCTGGTATTTTTGTCCTGCAGCTGCAGGGTAGAGCTATAAAGATACTTTTATCTGAGAAAGATGGTCATGGTGAGGCTATTTCAGCTCATTAACTTCAGCTGGAGTTTCCCTGTACCCTGGGGCTTACATGGAAATGGGTGTTTTACTGAGCGCATGCACACCCGGCTCTGCAGAATTGCTCAATCTGCTCACTTCTGCCTCCTCCCCTCCCCTTCCCCCCCACCTCAGAAACAAAGATAGTCAAGACAAAATTTTAAGTCTGCTTTCAGACCAGAAGCTGCTTTATTGCATTAAGTGAAAGGGAAACCAGAGAGTGATTTGGTGCCTCTTCAGGGCAAAAGCTTCCCTCTTCCACCCTGGTTCTGACTTTTTGAGGTTCTGGTTGGTATCAAGGTTTTCTAGAAATAAAGGTGCCATGCACACCATAACCCCCATCCAGACAGCACAATAGTGAAGAGACCTGTAAGAAAACACTAGTTTGCATTGCCTAACTTTTGCATAAGGGCCTTAGCCTTGAAAAGCCTGTTGTTATTTAACAAGGCTGGAGGTTGCATCACTGTCTGCAGCACTTCTACTTAGTAATGTTAGATGTACGAAATACAGGCACTTAAGACCATTTTTCTTCTGCCCCACTTCCCACTCATTTGCTGGATTTTGTCCTTTAATCCTCTCAACATTCTTATCTTCTCTGATCTGAGTAATCTGAGTATCATCTTTAAAAGTTGGTCATGGAAACAAGACAAATTTAATCCTCTGGTTCCCCTAGTAATAGCTCTCATTTGCTACGGAGGAATT